CTGAGAGACCATTTTGAAGGCTCAGGAAACCTTTGCAGGTGTTTTGAGTTGATTAGCTGATTGTCATGTCACCATATTCTAACTTGTTGAGATGGTGAATTGGTGGGTTTTTGTTAAATGTAAGCCAAAATCATCACAATTAAAAGAACCAAAGACTTAAACTACTTCAGTCTGTGTGCATTGAATTTATTTAATACACAAGTTTCACGATTTGAGTTGAATTACTGAAATAAATAAACTTTTCCACGACATTCTAATTTATTGAGATGCACCTGTATGTATGTCATTGATTATGCTGCACAAATGTCCACTACTAGTGAAGCCTTTGCAATGGGTTGAATTGGAACGTCCTAAGCCTTTGATCACTTGGAATCTGCTATGGAGTTGATTTATTATTTAAATTTTTTTCCCTTACAAATTTGTTTGATGCAACATTCTATATGTATATAGGTATGCTTGGGCTGTTTTAAATGTTTAAAAAAAACATTTATATATCATACAGTTGTTTGGGGTGAGGATAAATTAAACGCAATGGTGTCATAATCGTGTTGCATTGTGGTCTTTGGAGCTACCTGAGGTGTACATATGAAGTAGACTCGTGTTGTTATGTTTGGGGGTGGGTTAATGTTGTTATGATTACAGATCTGTGTGCAACCATATGTGATTCGTTCAAGATCTGCATAAATGTTAAAGCAAATAATGACGCAACAATCTGTGGTAACACACTATTTTGATAGTCCACTTTAGACATTCTACTAACTATAAGTAACTTTGCAATTACATTAAAATCTGCTAATACTTAATGGTCACCCAACATGCATTCATAACCATCTACTAATAGTCTAATGAGAGTCAGTTGACATTTAGTTGCAAAGTTACTTGTAGTTAGTAGAATGTCTAAAGTGAACTATCGAAATAAAGTGTAACCCACAATCTGCATTAGAAATAAGCAACTAAACATTGGATTACACAAACCTTTGAAATTTGGTATCTACAGTAGTTGCTTATGTTGCTTATTATGCTTATTTGCCACAGTCTTCATAAACATGGCTTTATTTACTGGTGGATGTTAAAAGACTGCAGAATCTCGAAAAGTCGCAAAAATGTTTCCATTTTATTGTGCCTTATGCATCAGACACTTAACAAACGAAGTGTGACCATGACATCTAAGGCTGATACTATGTGAGGATTAGAGTTGCAAAAAGGTGGAAAATGTCCAGTACATTTCGGAAACATTCCAGAAATTTTGGAAACTTTCCAGGATTTTTTGGAATCTTCCAGCCCAGGAATTTTTTTTTAAGTTTCTGGAAATACACTGGAAATTTTGATGATGATTAGTCATGCCTTGTCAGATACTTGAAAATGTCTCCTTTTATGCTCCATGGGAGCAAGAAAACCATAACCTAACCTAACCATATGGGTTTGGAACGACATAAGGGTGGGTAAATGATGATTTAATAACCATCCTTTAATTTATATTCGCTGTTACTGTCTGTCATTTATTCCATATGACAGATCTTGCACTCAAGACCTTGACGAAGACATCAAAGAAAGTTCCAGTGGTCTTGGCAGAGCGTCGTCATCCACGGCCCTATCTGAGCTCCTGGAGGGTCTTAGGAAGAAGCGCGCTGGATGGGAAAGAGGCTCGGAGGCGGGCGAGGGGAGCACAGTGTCACTTCCCATCTATCAGACAACAGGGGCCTCCACGCTACGCCGCAGGTCCTCAGCGCTGTCTCTAGAAGCAGAGGAGGGTCTGGAGGACCTGCCTCGACCTGGCATACTGAAACCTCCCAGTCCGCACCTGCCTCGTGCCTCCAGCCTCCGCTCCCTATCCGAGTCAGGCCCAACGTCCTCCACCAGCACAACCACCACAGGAAAGATGAACCGCTTCAGCTCCTGCGACTCCCTCGCATCCGTGACCTCCACCGCAAGTTCCCGCCGCCACTTGTCCAACCTGGCCATCCCTGAGGAAGGCGAGGAAGAGCCCAGCTCGAAAGCCATGCCTCCTCTAGGCACCTATCAACCAATCCGACACCGTCTACTTGGTGGCCTGGTAGCAGAAACAGGAGAGTCACAATTGGGATTGGAACCACTTGTATTCCAGAATCGCAGACTCCTCGGGAATCAAGACAAGGAGAGGGCCAGAGTCGATGCAAGGGACACCAGCTCAGACATTCTCCCAGCCATCCGTCGAGCGCAGTCCACCAGCAGCCTGGCATCTAGCAGTTCCCGAACGGGCCAGAGACGAGCCCTCAGTGTGCACTTTGGGGAGTTGCCGCCCTCCAGAGCGTCACGTAGGGAGTCCGACTCGGACTCTTCAAGTTCTGGTGGATCTCAGAAGCGCCGTGGGCCTCAAGGAGAGAGGCTGGAAGCCGAGGGCAGCGAGGACGTCAACTCGGTGATGAAGAAGTACCTCAAAAAAGCAGAAGTCGACTAGAAGACTCAACGAGGTTAAGCTTAAAACTGCACTGGCCTGCTTTACATTTAAGGGGGTCATATCATGAAGAAGCAAATTTTCCTTGATCTTTTGAGTTTCTACTGAAACATACTATAACTTTGAGAACTCGAAACTTCTTCCCAGTCCAAATCCAGGGATATTCTGAAATCCGTGGATTTGTATTGTCAGAAACATAATTTGATCACCCATACATTGCACATCACAAACGTCAGTTTGGTGTTTAGAAGGAAGTTGCATTTTCTGTTGTTTAACAGTTTTTTTAGAATAATTATTGGAGGATATTACCTACAGTGTCTTTTCCTTACTGCGAGAAGCAGAAGTACCTTTAAGGTACTAATATGCACTCTTTAGGTCCAAAGGTGTACCTTTTGAAATGGTACCCCCCACAGTGACAGCTTTTGTACTTTTTATTCTGAGAGTGTATGCAAAGTGAATGTTTACATGTATTAAAGGCACAGCTGCAAAGAGAAAAAAAAACAGTATGGAAAATGGTCACGAAACCTGTTTTGGCTTTTTTTTGTATGTATGACCCCTTTAAATGACAAAAGAAAAAGAAAAATGAGCAACATGAAACTAAATTGAATTGTGAAAGGATGTGAATCATTTAGTCACTCTCTTTTTTTCTTTCCCCTGACAGGATAGATGAAGACATGGAGAATTGACTCAGTCCAGAATGCATTGAGGCACATTTAACTGGAAGCACAAATACACTGAGGATTTATTTTGAGCACTGTTTGTACACAAAGATGTTAAAGTGAACGCATGAAATTCCTAAAATTCTCACTGTAAACATGCCCTTTATTCGAGCCGTGCTGATACCCACGGGTGCTTCAGGTCAGGGAAATTAATCTTGACCAGTGAGAGCTCGCTTTCCCTCTCAGCAGTCAGTGCAAATTTGTTGAACTCCAACAGATGTAAATAAAAACGTCGAGCAGAATCATTGGTATTTGCTTCGACCTTTCAAAGGAGAGGAACAGCATTACATTCACAGAGGAAAACAACTGAAATAGAGCCGTTTTACAAAGCAGTGATTGTGCATACAAAGCAGAGGCTCTCCATAATAATTGAGACTGACCTGGTTTCTGCAATCCAATCATTAACCTAGACTTATTTGCCTAGGAATGGAGTAAAGAAAATCGTTTGTACTTAATTGCCAGAGCAGAATTTGACAGTGTCCAAATGCTTTGTAATTTAATGTGCTTGGTAAGCATAAACAGGCTAAAGGAATAGTCCAGTTTCAGTTATACTAAATTGCAGTATTTGTGGCATAAATGCTGGATATCGCAAAGAATAATTTTGACTGGCTCTCCTTAAAGTTACAATGAGGCACTGAAAATGGAAGTTAAAGAGGCCAGTTTTGGAGGTTTTAAAAATCAGAAATGTGAAACTTTTCAAAAGCTCTTCAGTTCTGCTAACACTGTACTTTTAACTGTAAAGTCATTCAGTGTGGTCATTACCAATATGCCACAAGTGCTGTAAATTGCGCTTAACTTGTAGTTAAGGCTCAATACATGATAGATCTACTCACTGAAACAGCGCATTACAGTGATTTTACCACAGTAAGATTTTTCTTAACCTTTAACTCTGGTAAATCACTAGTCATTCATATTTAGGAGTACATTTCATGTCAGCCAAAAAGTCAGAAAATCAGTATTCTTTTTTGATAAATAAATTAGGTGGTTGAATAATATATCCCCTTAATGTGCTAAATTAATTGTTTGGCAAGCTTAAGGTATAATGACTTTTTAAATATGTTAATGGAAATTAACATTTGATTCATTATTTTGTCAACTGTGTTATGGACAAATGTTGTGTCAAATGAAACATGAAGTCCCACATGTTTGATTACACATTTGTTTGAATGTTTTTAAGTCTATTCACCAGTTTTTGAAGTTATCGGTCTAACTGATTTGAAAATATGAATTTGGGGCTTCATAATGGGCGTTCTGTGGGATGGTATCATGAAGGGTGATACTTTTCTTTAACATAAATCCACAGTATGCTGAATTTAGTGTTATTCACCATCCTTACCAAAGTCATCCATCTCCAGAGATATCCCCATCTTTTTTTCTGACGGATTAGTTCACATTTAAAAGATTTATAACATAAAAACCACACATAACACAGTTGACAGGTAAGAATGAACTTAGTATCCATAAAGCATTTTAAACGCACTCACCTTATAATAATTTATATTATAAAGGTAAATGACCTTAATGTGCTAAATTAATTGTTTGGCAAGCTTAAGGTATAATGACTTTTTAAATATGTTAATGGAAATTAACATTTGATTCATTATTTTGTCAACTGTGTTATGGACAAATGTTGTGTCAAATGAAACATGAAGTCCCACATGTTTGATTACACATTTGTTTGAATGTTTTTAAGTCTATTCACCAGTTTTTGAAGTTATCGGTCTAACTGATTTGAAAATATGAATTTGGGGCTTCATAATGGGCGTTCTGTGGGATGGTATCATGAAGGGTGATACTTTTCTTTAACATAAATCCACAGTATGCTGAATTTAGTGTTATTCACCATCCTTACCAAAGTCATCCATCTCCAGAGATATCCCCATCTTTTTTTCTGACGGATTCGTTCCCATTTAGGAGATTTATAACATAAAAACCACACATAACACAGTTGACAGGTAAGAATGAACTTAGTATCCATAAAGCATTTTAAACACACACACACAATAATACATTATATTATAAAGGTTTATAACGTTAATTAATATATTATATTATTATAAAGGTAAATGAAGTTTTATAATGCATCATAACACTTCAAGTTGTAAGGATGTATACAATAACATCATAACACTTTATCAGTCATGACTAAGCAGAAATAGATATGCCAAATCTAAAACGTATAGGTTTATGTCAATCATGAATGCTGAATTCTGAATGCTTTTTAACCCTTGACAAATGTGAACGAGTGTATATAATATTATGGATACGGAGTTCATAGAAAACACAGTTGACAGGTAAGAATGAACTTAGTATCCATAAAGCATTTTAAACGCACTCACCTTATAATAATTTATATTATAAAGGTAAATGAAGTTTTATAATGCATCATAACACTTCAAGTTGTAAGGATGTATACAATAACATCATAACACTTTATCAGTCATGACTAAGCAGAAATAGATATGCCAAATCTAAAACGTATAGGTTTATGTCAATCATGAATGCTGAATTCTGAATGCTTTTTAACCCTTGACAAATGTGAACGAGTGTATATAATATTATGGATACGGAGTTCATAGAAAGTGTGGCCGTGATTAGATCAGTTAAGTTTATCCATTGTTTTAGGCTATTCCTATGTCATTTCTGTGTAATGACAATAGTTTGTGAATATTTATCATCAACACTCAGTGGGAGCATACATTGACACTGAATTGCCAATCGTGTTAATCCTTGTGAACTGTGTTATAGTTGATGGGTAACACAGTTGACATTTCAAGCCATTTTAGGGCCTTGTGCAAACTGCTGACCTTGGAATAGTTAGTACATGACCTTGATTAACTTTTTTTATATTCTCCCTCTACATCTCTGGTGCAAGTTCACCAGAACATGTTACCACAGTTGACGGTCAATTAATCTACTCCATGTGCAGACAATAATCTAGATAAAATATTAAGTTATGACTTTCCACACGGTCTTCAAATTTCCCTCCAAAAAAGGAAAATCACGGGTTGAAAATTGTGTCTTTGAAACGAACCAAATAAATTGCTGATTTATAGGTTTATAGGGAGTTGACAGATTTCCTCAGACATACACAAAATGGATTTTAATGTAGAGCAAAATATTACATATAACATTTTAACATTTTAGAGAAGAGCAAAACCTCAGTTACCAAATCGAACCACACAAAAACGGCAAATTCCAGTATAGAACGCCATTTTTGCAAGATGAACGTTGGATTTTTGTATTAAATTAATTAGACATGTCCCCTGATATAAATGTGATCATTGTTTAAAGTGAAAAGTGATTGAAAAATTAGTCAAATTGATGGAGTCCATGGACATGACATGTACCCCTAAGTATATAATAGAATGACTCTAATGCAGTGCCTCGGGTTTAAATTGGTGCTTCTGTCGCATTAAGACAACAGCTGCAGACACTTTTGTGCCAACGCAGTCATACTTTCTTCCACAGACAAAATGCTTTGAGAAAATGAGACCAGTTTGCTTTCCCCTCTAACGGTTTTATTGACAAAAGCATAACTACATTGGGACCATGGTGAGAAATTTGAGCTCCCAACTCAAATGTCCAGCAGCGGCCTTCTGGGAACATGCCGCTTCCCATCCACATCTGCAATAAGAGAACATGATCAATGCGAGTCTCTACATGATCAAATTTGTACATCATCTACAGGCCCTTGCCTGGTCACACCTTCGCCTTCCGTCCCCTTCCTTTACCCTGAAAGAAACCACGTTATTCATTTTTGCATAGCTTTAGAAAAAGAACTTATAAAAAATAAATAAATAAACCTTTTTAGGTGGATTGTCACCATCTGAGGCTTCCCTGCATTTACAAAACACTTGATTAGTTTGCTTTGAGAAATTAAAGGACAAGCCAAATTTAAACGTTAGATTTAACTTACTCATCCTCTCCCTTTTCTGGCTTCTTTCTCTTTGAAGATAAAAGGGAGCAGTGAGAATTAGAACAAATTTAAATTGAAACAACTTGTGACCTACGAGACGAAGCCTTACTTTGCCAGCACCATTTTTTGTGACTTTCTTAACCGGTGATACTTCAATATCTTCCTCCTCTTCTTCTACCTCCTCATCCATCTCTTCATCCAGCTCTTCATCATCGGAGTACTCCTCCACTGGGAGAGATTTTGGCACAAGTCCCATTGACTTAAATACCAACCACAGATAGTAGCTAAAAGTAGAGCTGAAAGGACCACTCACAGGCCACATGTTCCGCTCCGACATACACCGGCCCAGAGCCGTGCTTCAGGCGAAAGGTCACGGGTGGATGAAGATCCAATCCAGACAGGTTGACCTGATGGAGAATGAAATCTCATGGAGGTATATACACAGACTTGTGGAGGTGAAATGTGATTACTGTAGCTCTATTCAAAGTAAATTATATCAGACTCCATAAAAATATAGTTTCACAACATTTTTCAACCCTCTGGTGCTGCATGCATGGTCATTGAATTACTGATTTTTTTTTTATTTGTATTAAATGAATGTACTATATTTTAGTTCAATAATTTGCATTTTTAGGGGATTTTATTGCCATTTATGGAATAGTTATGATCCATTTATTACCCGTTAACCGCTTTTTGAGCATAGATCTGGAAATTATGTTTCCAACTTAAAGGGATGAAAATCTTGACACATTATTGCTGAACTAAATTATTAAACCGCAACAAACTAAATAAATCTTTATGAAAAGTGCACAAATACTGTTATGGAAACTATATATTTTTCAAAAAATGTTTTAGCCTAATCTAGAGCGGCGTGGCAAATCAGAGCCATAAATCTAAGCAACTGTGTTCCAAATTTGAGGTTGATATCCCACACAAAAAAAAAAAACGCTTTCAGTAAGGTTTTGCTTCCCATTCACTTCCAAAGCTGTCATTTTTGACCACATACACGACTATTTTACCTAAAGTCTAAATAAAAATAAAAAAGGAAGAGCACCAGAAGGTTAAATTGAAAAACAGGTAAGCAGGGTGAAAACAGAAAAATAAATAAACGCTATTAGCGAAAATGTTACTTCGAGGGGCATTGTAGGTATTTTAGCGAGCTAACCTTTGCACAGAAATATCACATGAAAGCGATTATTTCTTACCGTAGGCATAGATTTAGCGTGTAGTGTTGCTATGGGAACCGCTCTCGCGCTGCTGTTGCCCTCACCAGTGACCAGCTCGACAATATTGAACTCATCTTTAGCGGTGTGACCCAGACACATCTTCAAATCAAATATTAACGGGTTAAATGTAATAAACACCGATTA